TTAGGCACTTCAATCTGCTGAGCTATTTGGTCGACCCTTAGAATGACCATTTTGATTTACAGTTTTACTCTACCATATTTAACTTGATTTTCTCATAGCTTGATTAGAAGTCAACATTGAGAGCTTTTTCATTATTGTTGATTCAATGGGCAAAGAAGAGAAATTAATTTCATAGTTTCTATTTTTTCTAAGAATTCAAAATAGTTTTACAAAAGCAATATAAACTATACAAAACTTCACTAAACTAAGCACTAGGAACTCAATGATTTTTTTTTTTCCTGCCTCAGGCTGCCTAAGGGCAGGTATGGTAACACAGGTGGAGGTGGGGATCCAGCAGCAGTATCCTGCACCTGACTGCATTTGCAAGAGCAGGTGCTTATACAACTGAACTAACTGGTAGGCTCCCAGCACTAGGAATTCAACAATGGTTACTGTATTGCATGATACTATCTTCAAATTAGTTTTTTAGTTTACCAGATATAAACATGCAAAATTGGATAAAACAACAACAAATCATAAGAAATTTTAAAAAAATTTAAGCATTAACTGCACATTTCAAAAGATCAGCAGAAATTGGCAGTACAATTATCTAAATTATTCTGCATATATGTAAATATATTTTTGTCCCTTGTTCTTTTTGTCCATTTCCTCATCCCAGGTTTTTCTTCCCATTGAACAAATTCTTTGCCTTTCATGATATCTATTGTACCTTTCAGATTTTATTTACTCTCTCAGGTTCTCACACTAGTGAATTTGAGGCTCTTGCAGAAAAATGGATGCAACTAGGGACTTTATTTGTAAATGAATAAATCAGACCCCCATATGCAAATATCATATTAGTTTCTATTTCTTAAAGAAAATACTGCAATTTGAATTCCATGGTTTTTAGAGAATTCAAATATCATTTCAAACATTCACTGACACTTTTCTTTTACATATATATCTGTTTTAGATCTTTTCCTCACTTTCTGAAGCATTCTTTACCCCTTTTCATAGGTTTGTGGAATCTCTTTAGGAATTAGTGCAATCATGACTTCATGTGCAATCTGTATTACAAATGTTATGTTCCAAGCTGTAGGATTCCTTTCTAGAACATAAAAAGAATTTTTAAAAATCAGGCCTCCAAGATTCAAAGACCTAATTGAAAAACAGGCATCTGAGATGAATATCCACTTCACAAATGAAGAGATACAAATGGCAAATAAAGATATGAAAAAATGTTCAACATCATTGATCATTCAAGAGATACAAATGAAAACAATGCTGAGATAACATTTTTAAAAAATGTATTTAGTATGGGGTCTTCAGGGTATCACTACACAGATTGGACTCATAGTGATCCTCCTGTTTTTAACCTACCAAGTGCTGGGATTACAAGTGTGCACCACCACGCACAGTCTCAATTGCTGTCTCAGTGTGCCCTGGGAGCAGGGCTGGCACAGCGTGCCAGGGATCAAATCCATTCCCTGGGTCTGCCTAAGCAGGCACTTTAGTCCACTGAGCTATCTAGCCAGCCTTTGAGATAACATCTTATGCCAAAAAGAATGGTCATCACCAAGAAGACAACCAATAACAAGTGCTGGAGAAGCTGTGGGGAGAAAGGAACCCTTTTTCACTGTTGGTGGGAGTGCAGGCTGGTACAATCATTATGGAAATCATTATAGAAATTCCTCAAAAAGCTAGGATTAGAGGTCCCATTCAAGCCAGCTATTTTTCTCCTAGGTATTTTTCCAAAAGAACTGAAATAATCATATCACAGCAATATATGTGCACCCATGTTTGTAGCATCACAATTTGTTGTAGCTAAGTCTTGGAAACAACCCAAATGACCATCAACTAAGGAATAGATTAAAAACATATGGTGCTATTACACAATAGAGTTATATTCTGCTTTAAAAATAGATAAATTTGAGGCTTTTGTAGATAAATGGATACAGCTCGAGACTATATTAGTAAGTGAAATAAATCAGATAAACTTGTACAAACAGTATTATCCCACTAGTGTGAAAACCTGAAAGACTTATGAAAATCTAAAATGTGCAACAGATACAGTGAAAGGTTAATAAATTGTTCAATGAAAACAAGAAAACTAGGATGAGGAAAAGGACAAATGAAAGAAAGGAAAAGATACATTTAGGTATATATGCAGAATAATTTGGATAATTGTATTGTCGATTTCTGCTGGTCTTTCTAAATTAGCAGTTAATGCTTAAATTTTTTTTTTTTACTCTGATTTTTTTCTTTCTCTTGATTTTTTTCTCACTTGTTTGTTATTGTTTTGTTTTGCTTTTTCTTCTTTAAATGAATTTTATGTGTTTATACCTAAAATCCCAGTACTTGGGAGGCTGAAAACAAGAGGATCACTATGAGTCTGATCTGCGCAGAGAGACCCTGTAATCTGAAGAACTAATTTGAAGACAGCATCATATGAATTCAGCAACCAGTGTTGAATACCTATCCCTTTGTTTAGTGAAATATTGTACCATTTCTAATGCTGTTTTTATTCTATCACTGTTTTATATTCTTTAAAAATAAAAATTAATGAAAAATAAGTATTAGAATATTGTCTAAACTCTTCCCCCAATTGTAGCGACCGAGTGTGTCATCTTTTTGAGGATTAATTATAAAATTGAGGGCTCAGAAAAGATGTATTTCTTTCTCACCCAAACATTCCCAAATCTTTTGCCTCTGAAACTTTTTGTGAATATTGCCTGTATGCTGGCATTATTCATATTTTAATGCCCAAAACACTAAATATTTATAGATCACATTTAAATGACGTTTTCAATATTTATAAAGTTAAATATAGAACTCTCTTAATAGATATCAACAGTTAAAATGAATGTGTTAAACAGCCACTTCACAAATACAATAACTTGTTTCTTTAGAGGCTATTAAATTTAAGAACCATTTCAAAATAGTTTCCTGAAAGTTTAGAATATATAAAGACAAGGGCCTGCCAGATAGCTCAGCAGACTAAAAGCTCCTGCTTAGTGACATGCAGGACACCAAGGTTTGATTCCAGGCCTGCCCTGCCAGCCCGCCCCCAAGGCATGCTGGGGAAGCACTTGAGACTGGGTGTGGTGGCAGTGCTGTAATCCCAGTGCTTGGGAGGCTGAGAACAAGAGGGTCACTGTCAGTCTGATCTGTGCAGTGAGAGCCTGTACTAAATACGTTTAAAAAAGAATACATGAAGTAATGAATTCACAACATATGACATCTTAAAACATGCTGAAAGATTTTGAAGTAGTACATTTTCTCCTTCTGAGTACATTTTTGAAATTATTCTCCATTAATGATACCATCTTGGGCTGGTGAGATGGCTCAGTGGTCTAAAACACCTATTTAGAACAAGCTTAGCAAAGCACAGGGACTGTGGTTCAATCCCCCAGCACCACATGCCAGCCAGCCACGCCCCCTGGTGGGCTGAGCTGGCCACACACACACACACACACACACACACACAAATAAATAAATTTTTTAAAAAAGATTAACATTACAAAAAAACGATGCCATCTTTTTAATGTCAGTTTCTTAAAAGATAATATTTTATGTAACATGTGGTCATAACTGTACTATGGCTGATAAACTTAAGTTCATTTATATTTGAAATTAAAGAAGCCAACAGTCCTGGAGGATTGTGGACTCTCAGACAACTAACAGAATAGTGTTCAGTTATGGAGTTTAGAATTAAAGCACTTTGTATTGTCTGTTTTTCATGTGTCCCAGAGTTTCAAAGTATATGTAGTAACTTTTTTTCTTATATTAAAGTTACATTTCCCATTTTTTTACTACACATGTGCTGCATGTTTTAGGAGGAATATTTGACATTACCCTCAAGTCAGTTCTATGCATGACCATTTACCAAATACTATGAGATTTCTTAAAGGGAACATTCTGTGCTGTGCTATCATGCAGTGTCATCTTGTTCCTTGACAAATATGCTTGTACCTTTGTATAATGAGATGTAAAATTAAAAGTGAGCAGTGTGTGACAATGACCAAGGGTTTTAAAATTGTTAGCAATCCAAAATGGATATTTGAAATGAAGAGACACTTCTCAGATAAAGAAGTACAAACAGCAAATGAATATATGAAAAATGTTCAACATCACTGGTCATTCAACAGAAGCAAACTAAAACACTGAGATTCCATCTCACTACAGACGAAACAGCTATCATTAAGAAATCAATTAATAACAAATACTGGTGAGTCTGTGGAGTAAAAAACAAAAAAAACCTTTTCCCACTCTGGTTGGGTGTGTGGACCAGGGCCGTCACAACCTTAACCCTAACCCTCACCCTAACCCTAAAGGCTAGAGGGTGAGGCAGGGAAGTGGGTATGATAAAGGAGAACTGAGATATATTATGTACAGGTATAAATTCCCTATAATGAATGCAATCATTGTGTATATCAAAAGTATACTAATAAAATTAATTTTAAACAAAACAAGAGAAATTTGGTTCAGTGGTATATCTAAAGCTGTGGTTTATGTGTTTTGAATTTCACTGCTCAGAATAAAATAAAATGTAAAAGAATAGTCTTCACGACTATGAACGATTATGAATAACTATATGTTGACTAAGTCAACATATTTCTTCTGAAAATCCCTTACCTTACTAATTTCAGCACTTTCATTTTCATGAATAATTCCTTTGGTTCCAAAACTCTTGAGAATTTCTTTAGCCATATTGAGCAAGACATTGATCTCCTCCTTTGTCTTCATAGTGACACCTATTTCCGGGTGATCATACTCTAAGTAGCCTAAAAAAATTCCAATACATTTTTAGGTGAAATAAATGTGTCTTTTAAAATGTTTAATATAGATGATAAACTAATGAGTCTCATTAACTCATGGAGTACAATTTTCAACACAAATAAATATTTCTCTCCTTGCAAGTCCCGTGACAATCAGTAGTTATTTTCTGGTAAAGCCAGAGCTCAGTCATTTTATTGGCAGCACTCACACTCATGCTAATCTTTGGGAAGAGGAAAAAAAGCCTTGATTCTTAAGTTGTAAGGATAGCAGGTATATTGATCCACCTAAACTGAACACTGGGAACCTTCTTGGGCTCTAGTTCTGCTGTTAATGATCCACTTTCCAGGACTTCTGACTATAGGCTGTGCACTCAAATCTGGCTTTTGAATAAATCCTTTCACTCATCCTGGGTCATTATTCACCCAACCTGGCTGTATCTTGATGGCTTATCCCTCTGTGCTTTTCTGCTAATCTCATTTGGATTCTGGATACGCATTAAATTTTAATTATATATTTGGACATTTCCTCAATCCTGATTTCTCTGTCCTGGATTTGCCATACTGATTGTCAAGCCAGCCATTATTTTCAAGTTTGCTGTATGTACTTTTGCTCCACTCCATCTCAGGCATCAGATCTCTTCCTCTTCCTCACACATGAGCGTTATTACATGGTCAGGGTGTGTGCTCACTGCCAGAATTTGTCCTTCACCAGGAGTGTGACCTGGTATGACTCAGAGAATAGGTTGTTGCCATATCTGGATGTCGAGGTTCCCTGTTGTCCTCATGGAGATCTATTCTAATTTTAACTCATTATATGGCCTAAGTCCTTGGACGGAAGCTGCATGGCTAGTGGAGGGAAACAATAACTTCTTTCCTTGTGATATCAGGAAGATACAAGTATTTCTGATTTGGAAGAAAACAGTTATAAGGCTATAAAATTTCATGCATAATTTTGACATGGAAATAAAGATAAGTTAAGAAATTTAAGTGTTTGCATTGTTCTATTTGGCAGAAAAGTAAATATGGAAAGGTACTGTTACATTATACCCATCTATACTTGAAAACATGGTTATATTTTTTGATATTATCTACTTTATTCTTATAAGTGAATAGGCTTTCTTTTAGATAGTTTAACTCTAAAACCACAGTTTTTCTACAGTTATGATGATAAAAAATAATAATGCTAAATATTTAGGTTGAAAGATACCTACCTAGGGGCTGGGGAGATAGTTCAGTAGAATAAGCACTTGCTTGGCAAGCACAAAGGCCTGAGTTCAATCCCCAGTTCTGGAAAAAAAAAAAAAAGAAAGATACCTACCTAGTTCTTTCATGGCACGTTGCATATTCCTTGTTTCCCGCTTTAACAACATCTACAAGACAAAAGAAATGTTATCTCTATTGGAAAAAAGTTCCATTATTATTTAAATGCCTTTGTGCACACACTTAAAATTTTAGTACCCTGGGAGACTGAAAGAGGAAGATCATACATTGAGCCTAGCCTAAGCAACTTAATGCTTAGCAAGACCCTGTCTCAAAAATAAAAATAGAGAATTGAGAATGTAGTTCAAGGTGCATTGTGGTATGAGAATGTAGCTCATAACACACTTGTGCACACACACACACGCACACGCGTGTGCACCTCTGCATTTCCAACTGATAATTTTAAACATATGTTCTTTAATATTTATTTGTTTATTTGTACAGGGTCTCATTACGCAGTTTGGACTTGTAGTGATCCTCCTTTCTCAACCTCCCCAGTGCTGGGATTATAGGTCTGTGCCACCACATCTGGTTCTGGGGTAGGTATGGCATGCCCAGTGTTCTGGGGATGGCAAGGCATGCAGTACCAAGGATCAGACTTGCCAGACAGGTGCTGAGAAGGCTACTGAGCTATCTCCCCAACCCTAAACATAAATTTTTTTATTTTATAAAAATAATGATGAATGCTATTGGAGCTTTGTAGGGATTCAAACTGAATTGAGGGGCTTTTTTCTTCCTTTCTCTTTTTTTTCTTTTTCTTTTTCTTCTATCAGTGCTGAACAAACTCCACAAGTTTCTTAGCTTGAAAGTTTTCTTGGCTTCACCAAGAGGGATGCATAAAATAGGAAGTAGCATTACATAGGTAGATGCTAAGAAAATTAAAAGTGTGTCATATAGTATTGCATAAGGTAACTTTCATTAAGATACTATTGCTTCTTCAATACATGGTAGTTACTTTTATATTCAGCTTTCAGGGAACTTCCAAATCAGAGACAAAGGGATAACTTCAACTTCGAGTAGGGGTAGGCAAGCATAAAACAGGACAAAATTGGGGAAATACTTTGAGGACCTATGACCTCTTGTATTTTCTTCTTCACATATTCAAATTCCAGTTTAATATATCATTGGTTAGAAAAGTAGGAACACTCAGGAAAACCGTTTTAAAATTATAAGTGTTGAAGAGAGAAAAATACTACTTTTTGTGTTTTAAAACATACTGAGTATACACTTTTCTCAACTACAAAGTTTGGTATTTATTATGGTTTGTGTCTAGTTGTCACCCCAAAGCCTCATGTAGTCATGAAGTGGCTTCTAGAGTTGGTGATTAATTCTTGATCCAAGCTTGGATTGTGGATGTGAGTGTTATACCTGCCCTAGGGCAGACAATCTGCATACAAATGTAGGCGAGAGAGGCTTGCTAGCAGCCACAGCTGCTGCTTCCCCTTTGGCTCTTTGCTACTTTCCACCACCATGAATGACTGCCCTCTGCCATGTGCCTCTCTGCCTTGGAACCAACTAATTAAATTTTCCCACACTTAATTCTGGGTGTTGGGTATTTTGTCCCCGCAATGAGGAAAAAGTAACAGAGACAGAATTTTATACCTAGGAGTGGGGTTGTTGCTGTGGCTAATCTTGACCATGTACTTCAAGAGCCTTTGGGGATAGCTTATAGGAAGAGTTAGGAAAGGTTTGGAGATGTTACCTACAAGAGAAATGCTGGAACACTTGAGGCAGTGTCACAGCTATTAGTCAGATTTATGTTGGTAATGAATAGCAAAGAACCCAGCAGGATGATTAAAAATGTGAGTTTAGCTAGAAAGGAAGTACCAATAAAGCTGTGGGCTACAAGGATAAAGCTGAGATCTCCATTGCCAGGAAGAAACAAGAGAATAGGAATAGAAAAGATAGCTTGAGGGCATCACAAGAAGCAGCAAGTCTTTACCCTTTGCAGCCTCAACTGCAAAAGTGAAAGAGTTTGCTTTGAGGAGAAAGTCACAGAGCCCCATGTTCTAGAATGGAGGTGGCAGCCACACCAGGCTCCAGAATGGCATCATCATGGAGAATTTGTTCCACAAAATCAGGTTCAGAATGCTCAATGATCCAGGTATTCAACTCCTACAGCCAGGAGAGAAGAAAGCCTGGCAACTGCTCCACCTAGCAGCAGACCTTGGCATTTTCCAGGTGATGTTGGTTTTAGGTGTATGCAGAATGTAAGAGTTCTGAGGTTAAGAAGGCATCCACCTAGATTCTAGAAGGCCTGGGAGGCCAAGTAGTGTGCCCCTAGGAGGTCATTGTGTAATGTTTATTGTGCAGTGGAAACCCCAGAAGCTGGGGAAAGCCAGAAGTGTGGATCATCTGAGGAAAGCTACCAAGAGGGAGCAAAGCCAGCCCAAAAGAAAAGTCATGGAAGCTACAACCAGAAGCAGTGCTGCAGAAGTAGAGCCACATGGGGCTCACAATTTGCCACAGATCACTTCGGATGTTCCACATGGAACCACAGTATTTGCTTGCTATTTTGCAGTTTGACTGTCATGGACTCACTGTTTCATGGATTTTCAAAAAATATTAATCTAAATTATTTATCTCAGATTTTTTCCTATATTGAGGGATTTTGCAGAATGATACAGTATACATATGTTGTTAAAATTACATATGTTTACAGTTTAGAAAATGGTTAAGAACATTAGAATTGTTTTTAATGTGTGTGTAAACATATTTTAAAATAAATATAACATCACTACTTCACTGATTTTCACTTACTGCAGGGGTATCTGGGCTGTAGCCTCCACGATGAGTGAAGGACCACTGTGTAGGACTTAAATGTTTGCCCTTCTGGATTTTGGACTTGCTTTGGTTCCAATGCTTTGTATCCTATTGTTTGTACCTTTGTAATGGTAATGTTTATGTTGTGCCATTGAATGTTGGAAGTGTTTAACTTTTCATTTATACAAGGGCTCATAAGACAGAGTTTACCTTCAATCTTGGAGGAGATTTGGGACTTGGATGTTTCAGTAATGCTGAAACTGTAGGACTTTGGCAACTCTTACAGATAGACTAAATGCTTTTTGCATAAAGGGATGTGCATGTCTCTTTCAGGGGCCCAGGGCACAATGTTATGGTTTGTGTCTAGTTGTCCTCGCAAAGCCTCAGGCAGTCATGGGGTGGCTTCTTGTTTGTGATTAATTCTTGATACAATGCTGGAATTATGGGTGTAAGTGCTACACCTTCCCTGGGACAGATAATCTGCATATAAATGTAGAGAGGGGAGAGAAGCTTGCTAGCTGCTGTAGCCATTGCCCTGCCCTTTGTTCTTTGTTGTTTTCCTGCTGCAATGAGCTGCTGTCCTCTGCCATGTGCCTCTCTGCCTTGGAGCCAGTTGAGTATGGACTGAAACTTCCACTGTGAGCTAAATAAACCTTTCCTTCCTTAATTTTGGATGTCAGATATTTTGTCCTAGCAATGAAAGAAAAGTAACTGAGACAGCAATATGAAGAGTAACACCCAAAAGTTTCAAATTGCCTTCTATAGAAGGGAAGTACTGAATTCTACCTCATCAACAAACTTTCATGCATATATCATTGTTAATCTGTCTCCATTTATAAAAGGTTAGAATTTAGGCCCTGCAACTGTCTTGGTTACCTACTAAACAAAGAACATTGGGTAAAATCACTTAACCTCTCTTGGCCTTGTGGTTCTCATCTACATAATAAGAAAATATGGCCAAGTTTCCTGTAGATGAACTATTGTTTCTCTCTTTCTATTTCCCAGATTACTTGTGTTATAGCCTGTGCAATTGATTCCAATTTTGTAACTCTGTATGCTCCCACTGTAACTTTATTAACTGTTATAACCTGACATATGCGCCACCATCTTGTTCTGTATGCGCCATTCTAAATGCTGTAACTTTCTACTGTGCCTTTTCTCTACTTGAGAACCTGCAGTTGGGCCTTTCTCACGCTGCCCTTTTGTGCGCACCTGAATCTAGTTTCAGACCAATGCCCTGATCTCTCTCTCATTCCCAGCTACAAACTGTACCCACCACTGCACCTGTTATTGTTCATTAGAAACAGGTAATTTTTCAACTGTAGCCCCAAGATAAACCCTTGAGGTCAGCTTTTATGGTTTATTGGCTTAAATACCCACTCCATTTTGTAACCAGAATGGGCATTGTATTATACATTTCTCTACATGTCCACTGTAACTTTATTAATGAGGATTGTTTGGTATAAGCTGACAACTTCAACTCCATCTTGATGGCTCAAGCCATTCATCGGACCTCTGAACACAGTTTGTTAATGTTCAAACCATTCCTTTGTTCTAAACCACAGTGTGTCAAAGGTTGAGATCTGAACTATTTTTACCCCAGAGCACTCCACACAATATGTCCTGTGATCAGCACCGAACCATAAATTGTAATTATTTGTTCCTAAAAATTGTATGTAATCTATTTTCCCGAAAGTGGACGCTGACTCCTGTGCTGCATTCCCTTGCACTCAAATCATAAGACCTCCCCTTTGCGGTTTTCAGCCTTAAAAACCCTTGTCTCTCCCCTCCTGTGCGTGCACCTCAGCATCTTGCCGGGGTGTCTGCTGCTGGGTACCAGCTAAAATAAGGCGCTTCTTTAACTTTTGGACTTGCCTCATTGTCATCTGATTTTTGAGTTACAACAACTTGTTTTTATTTCCTTTATTTTTTACTAGCAGAAAACAAAGATAGAGATGGACAAAGTTTTTGGAATTATGAGGAACCTCTGCTCAAGGGTGGCATAATTTTTTCTTTTCCTCTTTTTAAAAAATGTATGTAATACAGGGTGTACAGGGTCTCACTGCAAAAATCAGACTCGTAGTGATCCTCCTGTTTTCAGCCTCCCAAGAGCTGGGATTACAGGCGTGTGCCACCACACCCAGTCTTAGTCACTATCTCGACATGCTCCAGGGGTGGAGCTGGCATGGCATGCTAGAGATTGAACCCTGGTCCCCGTGCCTGCCTAAGCAGGCACTTTAGTCCAGTGATCTATCTGGCTGGCCCAATTTTTATTTTCTGATGGTTTGTATTAATACACCTATAGTCTGACATATCCTGGAAACTGTTACTGGAGAAAGCTAATGGGTTTCAAACAGGTAGAAAAGTGACATCTGAGAGCCTTTATATTTTGCTAGCATGATATAGAAGATACTTAAATAATTTAAATGCAGACCAGTTTAAGGTTTTTTTTTTTTTTTTTTTATAGAAAGAAAGATTTACTTCAGCTCACAATTTACAGAGGTTCAGTCCATAATAGGACAGCTTTAAGGCTGGGTGGCATGGCAGACAGGCATTGCTGAGAAGAAACAGTTCATGGTGAGAAGGGAACTAAACAAGCAAACAAGGGTCTTTCATAGTCTTTTAATACACCTTTATAATGTATCTAAGCTACCAGGATTCAGGAAGGTGCCAAACAAATCAGTAGACTGATTTTGTAATCACACATCCATAATCCTAGAATCACACACTCTAGACACAGTCACCTCTGAAAAATGCCCCATCTAAACCTACACAAGGCTTTGGAGGTACATCTAACACATTCTTGTATGGTTGTGGAACAGAATATAAAAGAAATGCCATGTATGTCACCTTGCACATAGTCTTGTTCATAGTTAACAATATGAAATCAGTAAATATTTACCCCATTTTGTCTCCATATTTAATCATGTTCATATTGATGACTGTTGTGTCATATTTTTTGATTTTTCTTGTTTTCATTTTTTTAAATTTTATTGAGAAACCAATAGCAATGAGACAGTTTCAAAACTGATTACTAGCACAGTTTCAATAATTAATACATTGCATATTGTTGTCTTCATAGTGGTTATTCATAGTACAAGATGCAGACATGATATCCTGTCCAAACATTATTAGTATAAATCTTTCTTCTCATCGAATTAAGAGAAAGTAGTTAGCTGTATATGTGTCCTATTTTGTATATACAGATGCAAAATGGTACTTCATTTGTATCCCCTTTTTTTGTTTAGTTTTGTCAGAGATGGGTATTCCATTGCTATTTATATATTGTAAGTGCATGAATTCAGCAAAATAATCCAATATAGTCCAATAGTTCATAATAGTGGTGGGTTATCCATAGGACTGGCAATGTTAGAAGTTGTTGAATTAAGCCATTTGCAGTTCAGCATATTAATATGGCTTTACTTTTTATACCTCATTTAAACTTTTCTGCTGGATGATTAAGACCAAGATAAAGCAAGACCTATACAACATGAAATGTATCTTTTGTATCTGACAAGGTCAGTCAAATCCTCTCAGGATATACCCTGAAACCCTGCAGTTTAAGTTTTTGCAGAAATTAATTATCAAACCTGGAGTCAAAGATAATATCTAAATGTACAGATGGACAACATGCTAGGTGAGGGGAGCAGAACAGTGGAAGGTATAAGTCATTTTTTAGTTTTTAAGATTTTACTCACCTCTTTAACCTGCTTAGAAGTTGCAATCTCATCAATTATGTTCATTACGTCTATTTCGCCTTGGATATAACCTTTCAGTACAGCATACCTAAAAGACTGCTGATGACTCATTTTTTTATCTATTATTCGTAGCAACTTTGGTGTTATGAGCTGAAAAAGCGAAGTTCCATTTAGTACAATTAATGCAGATTTTAATTGCGCATGTACTGATCAGTTTAACTGAAATTGATAATAGTAAGAAATTTAGTGCCCTCAAAGCTGGTAACTGCAGAAAGCAGTCAACATTCTTTGCTCATGGTGCTTCTATAAGTCCTTTATTTGTGGTGCCTTTATAAGCCTGTGATTATAAATATTTCTCTATAACTAATAATATTGGGCCCCATTTTCCTTATATGAAATTTCAGCTTGTTATCAAACAGTTTCAATTTTTGAAAAACAATATACTTACTGCTCTGAGCTTGGGTTGTAAGATGACTGTCTACAAAGTACTGCCATAGTCATGTGCTAAATCTACATACTCAACCTACTAAATGATCTGTGTGGTTGAAACCCAGTTACAACCAAACTCTCTGTCCAGTCCCACCATTCACTTCTTTTTCTTAGTTCTCTGCAGAGGGCTTAAGCCTCCAAATTCTCTGCTGTCCTCGTGCAGTTTCCTAATTTCCTCACAGGTAACAGTTCCCTGTATTTTCCTCTGTGTATGTGCTCCCCAACTCCATATACTGTACTCTATTCTCTAACCACCCATGATGAGTCCCTGGAGTGTATCAAGTGTTACCTAAAAAGACAAGCCTTTTCTCTCCAAGAAGTATATTGTACTATTTTGTACTTGTCCTACCATATAACGTTGTCATATCGAGATTACTTGTCATTTGCCTTCTCTACTAAGCTCCTTCGATGCAGACTCTGGGTCTAATATTATCATTATATTCCAAAGTCCTCCACCACTTGTCCTAAGGATTCACAGTTTCCTGAATACATAATCAAACTTTTCCTAGTGGTTTATCAGTTCCTTAACCTAAACAATTTAGTAGATTCTGTGCAGCTTTCTGTCACACTGAATCCACTGGGCTATAGAATGTACTAGACTCATTTTCCACAGATTATTCTGTAGAGGAGTCGTTACTCACTGTCTAATAAAAAATAACAAACTACTGATTACATACTTTTAATGCTGACTGATTTATGGCTATCAGTAGCAAAAGTATTTCTAAACATATGTAAGGACATAAATAAACAATATAAATAAAAACATTCTATGCTGTTAGTTTGAACTCTATAAAAACTTTGGCTCATTTAGCTTTGTGTTTTCCACAGTGCTTATTTGTTGGTGTCTTGTTTATGTAAAAGTAGAATGAGACAGAGAGATAAAAATAGATCTGCATCGATATATCTTTATATGTGTTGCTATGGCGTTTCATGACATTGAAATAATCTTTTAAAAATTAAAAAACTGGGCTGGAAAGATGGCTCAGTGGAATAAGTGCTTCCCTGGCAAGCATAAGGGCCTGAGTTCAATTCCTGGTTCCGCAATAAATAAATAAATAAAAATTAAAATTAAAATTAAAAAGCTACTCATCACACTTGTTACATGTATTAGTCAGAGATCATTGTTGACATGATTATGTACTCTATGACTTTACATAAAAGTAAATGTGTGATTTGTTAATGATTTGTGTGAATGCATACTACTTGCTTTGCTTCTACAAAAGCTTTACATGGCTCTTTGTTCTGCTTATCACCCTTATTTTTTTTTATTTTTTAAAGAATACAAAATAATAATAAAAAAGCAGCATTAGAAACAATACAGATAGCCAAGGATATAGCTGAGTGGCAGAAGCGCCTGTTTGGCAAGCAAAAGGTCCTGAGTTCAATCCCTGGTGGAGAGAGAGAGAGAGAGAGAGAGAGAGAAGAAACAATACAAAATTTTACTCAAAAAAGTAATAGGAATTCAACAATGGTTCTGTATTGCATGATGTTATCTTCAAATTAGTTGCTTAGGCTTCCAGACAGAAATGTACAAAATTGGATTTTTTTTATTGAAAAAACACAAAAAAGTTATAATAAATTGAAAAGAAAAAATAAGAATAAAAACAAAAAAATTTAAGTATTAACTACACCTTTCAAAAGATCAGCAGAAATCAGCAGTACAATTAATACCCGCATCATCCTGCATGTATACACACATATCCCCTCCTGGAGGTTTTTCCAAAAGAACTGAAATCATCATGCTACAGCGATGTATGTTTACAGTGGTGCAGCTTGTCCTAGCTAAATCTTGGAAACAACACTAAGGCCCATAAAATGAGGAAGGGATAAAAAAGATGTGGTATTTTTGTAATACACAATGGAGTATTGCTCAGCTATTAAAAATGATAAATTTGAGGCTTCTGTAGATAAGTGGATGCAGCTAGAGACTGTCCTCATAAGCGGAATCAGTCAGACTCACATGTACAAATATCAGATGGTCTCACTAGTGTGAGAACCTGAAAGAGTAAAATCCAAAAGATACAACAGATACTGGGAAAGGAAAAGAGTCAGTTCAATGGGAGAGAAAAACTGGGATGAGGAAAGGGACAGAAGAAAGAAGGGAAAAAGTTATCTCCATCTTTTATCTCTTAAGTATGTATAAAATATATATTACTTCAAGCATTACTTTGTACCTATATTAATATGGAATTTTTCATATACTCTTTTAAATGGAAAAGCTGTGATGAATCCGTTTATACTTGTAAATGCTAAACTAATTTCTACTATAAATTGAGTATGAATTCTATAAAGCATTATAAAACTTAATTGGTCAAAGGGAGTTAAATTCAAAATGTAAGCATTAGCCTAATGAAGGGTAATCACCTTAAAAATATTCATGAACATGAAGTAATTTTAAATTGCATTATTTGTTATTTACCTTAAAAAGGCGTAATACACGAAGGAGCGGGATAGTTTCCATTATTTCAGTTAAGAGAAAATTATAAGTAACAGATTTTGTGGTAAAAAGTATTAAGTCCACGGTGCTAATGAATGTAACTGATAACTCAAATATGTTCCAGGAGTGTGTAAAATATTCCCTTTGCAATGCTGCCATCTGTTGATTTAAAAAGAAATTGACACTGTTATTTTAAAATTTTTTCTACTTCATTATCTACAATAATTTAGACAGCGAAAAGATATTTTTCCCTGTGCCTTCCTTAAGTCTCTCTCTACTTGTCTGAAATCCACCATGAGAACCCAAACCAAACAAACAGAATAAGTGTGCTCACATTGTCCTATAGTAAAAGAACTTTCATAGGACCATTGATTTAGGATTCATTACAAACCATGAAATGGCATAAAATGTAGCAGTGGTAGAAATTCAGTCAAATATAAACAAACCATAATGTGACACACTTAATATAAAACAAACAGCTGTGGGCCAGGGAGATAGCTCAGTAGAATAAGCGCTTGCCTGGCAAGTGCAGGGTCCTGAGTTCAGTCCCTAGCAGCACAATCCATCCATCCATCCATCCATCCATCCATCCATCCATCCATCCATCCATCAACCCATCCATCCATCCATCCATCCATCCATCCATCCATCCATCCATCCATCAAACAGCTTCAAGATAAATACCATAAAACTCCTTAGCATTGTTTTATATTTTATAGTGATATATGATTAATATCCCAATCTGTGACTCAGATCAATAAGAAAAATAGATTTTTGTGATGTGCATGGACAATATTTTACTAAAGCCATTAAAACTTTGTTCATTTTATGACTGTATTTTATTTACATGTGTAATTTTATTTGTAAGATGAAGAATAAAAGTAATTTTTAACCTCTTAAAATCTAAGTAAAAGTAGATATTTTATCAGAATTATCTTGGGAATTACACTAAGTCTTTAGTAAATACATTAACTAGAGAATTATATGGATTCTTAGTAAATATATTTTTGTAGAACTAGCATAAAATTTCATCAATGTGTCAACATTCAAATGAGCACCTTTCAGAGACTATTTATGGATGTTTTTATCCATAAAGTTCATCTTTACATTAAAGTAGGAATAATTCAGTAGGATGCTGTTAAGCAGTTTAAATTGGATAGCTGTAAATAAGAAATTGCCATTTTAAGGCTAATTTCTGAATTGTTTTTGTTGCCTCTTCCACAAATCTAGAGTCAGTACAGACAGCTGGAGTCTTTACTAATTCAGATAATATTTTTTACAGTCCTTCAAAGTGCCGACTTTTTCAAAGTAACTCAGGGAAATAGGAAAATCCACTTACATATTTCCTTAGTACTAAGCACAAAATCAGAGTACATAGTTATTTTATCTTGTGTTGATTATATTAATTTGAAGGCATTAATAGTATAATGTAATCTGAACTCTGAAAATAAAGATTTCATGCCTTAAATCTATGACAGATAGAATTTTTCTGACAATTCTGTCTGGATTAAACTAGAAGTAGTTGAAGTACGTTTCTTGTTGAATATGAAATTTATAGCAGGATGTAAATAATATGGAAGGATCACATTTTATAAGTTCTATCATCTTTCTTACAAGCTTGAAGCATATATAGCTTATTGGATTTGAGGTCATTCTTTTCTAATGCTATAGCTTTGTAGCAGTATTACATTTTCTTTTTTCTTTGTCTTTTCTTTTTTCTTACTTTTTCCTTCCTTCCTTCCTTCCTTCCTTCCTTCCTTCCTTCCTTCCTTCCTTCCTTCCTTCTTTCTTTCTTTCTTTCTTTCTTTCTTTCTTTCTTTCTTTCTTTCTTTCTTTTTGTGGAACCGGGTATTGAACTCAGGTCCTTAAGCTTGCCAGGCAAGTGCTTATTCTACTGAGCCATCTCCCCGGCCCTATATTTTCTATTAAATATCTGAAATTCGTTTATTTTGTCCAACTATCACATACAATTTCTCTACTTATCTTGTATTACAACTATGTACAGTATCTTGTATTACAACTTTGATTCATATGACAGAGCACCTGGTTTGTGGATGCCCATTTCCATCACTCAGCAACTATCTTTTTATTTATTTATTTATTCTTCTGTATTTAGTACTGGGTCGATAGGGTCTCGCTACATACATCAGACTCATAGTGATTCTCCTGTTTTCAGCCTCCCAAGCGCTGGGATCACAGGCATGAGCCACCATGTCCAGTCTCAATAGCCCACTCAGTGCGCCCCAGGGGGCGGAGCTGGCACAGCATGCCGCAATCCCACACTGGTCCGTACGCTCTGCCTAAGCAGGTGCTTTAGTCCACTGAGCTATCTGGTTGGTTTAGCAACTGTCTTTACATTGGATTTTTAAAAATCCATTTGTAAACTTTTAAGTATTAAATCTATCAAGCTGCTTGTCCTGTTATCTCAGTTTTAAAAGGAAAAAATGAATATTCAGATGCTTCTAAGTCTGCTGACTTTAAGAATATTGTCAATATTGTTTAAACGCATTCTGTCATTTTCACTCACATCACATAGCATTTATTTTTGCAAATACATAATCAATTCTTAAAGTGTTCATATTTTCTATTGTCACTCTAAAAAAATCACCTTTAAAATGTTTGTTCTGAGAAGAGGAAAATTTCATATACTTTTTAGGAAAAATAGTATGTAACTAGTATTGAAACATGGGGTTAGGAAATCTTGTTAAAGATGCTAGGGAGGGCTGGGGAGATGGCTCAGTAGAATAAGTGCTTCCCTGGCAAGCGCAAGGGCCTGAGTTCAATCCCTGGTTCTGAAAAAAAAAAAAAAAAGGCTAGGGCCCACGGAGCTAACTCAGCAGTATAAGCACCTGCCTGGCAAGTGCAAGTTCTCGAGTCCAATTCCCAGTACCTCAAACAAAAAAGGTAAAAAAAAAAAAAGAAAAAGAAGAGAAAAAAGGAAAAGAATAGAAAAGATACTATAATTGCGCATGTGCGCGCACACACGCACACACACACACACACACACATACACACACACAGAATTTAGATTACCTTAAGTATAGCCTCTAGAATATACAATACAAGAAAAAAGTCGTTAGCATATCTGATTTCATAGCCATAGATGTCATTTAACAAAGGTACCCAGGAGATGATAATAGGAAATGTGTTCATCAGTACTGCAAGGAATCCGATATATTCAAAATCATCAATAGATACTATTTTATGACATATACGAAGTAAGTGATATCTGCAACAACATGAAGAGAATTTTATCTGACAAAAGAACTATATCAAATGATTTTTATTATATACTTTGTTCCATTCTAAATAGCAATGGTATAGAGCCGTACTTAGTTATTGGGAGCAGCTATCACAAGCTAAGCTAATATTATCTGACACCCTGATTTGGATGTTATCTTTTCAATTTCCTCTTCAACCAAATGTCTTGTCACTTCTCATTCATATATTTTGCAGCACTGAAGATTAAACTCAGGGCCTTTGTGCTGAGCTACATTACCAGCCACTCCTTCCCCCTTTTCTTAATTTTAAAACAATCTTGTTAAGCCACTAACTTTCCCAGGCTGGCCTTGAACTCACAACCTTTCTGCTGCAGCTTCTCAGAGTCCTGGGATAAAAACATTTGCCTCTATGCAATGCTTCTCTGTTATTTTTAAAAGAAATACTTGCAGTGTGATACAGGGATAATTTAAATAGGAAGCATTTTAAAAACAATGAGAATCCTTCACATTCTCCCAAAGTTTTTCACTTCTAAGAGATGTCTATTAACACTTTGAATATTGTTCCAAATGAAAGTATTGCATGCATATTTTTATGTAACATGATTTTAAAAAAATGATGCATTATATTTTTAAAACATTATAATAACTAAGGAAGAAGCACAAAGAGGAAAGCACAGAATGTGTGGCAGTGGGACAATATGGACCCAAATTTTATCAAAAATCAAAAATTAATGAATAACTATGCTGTGAAAAATAGTTTCTATAGAAAATATACCACACAAATGGTGAATGAAAGGACCATAAACATTTATATGTTTAACTCAATTTCTGAAAGTATTAAAATGGTATAAATACATATTCTAACTGTTGAAACTCTAATGATATTATTGGTTGATAATTATTGACTAGACTGCTGGATCATTTTCACATTCTCAGGGAGTATGTTGGTGTTAGATGTTAGAAACTTTTATCAGTTTGGGTCCTATTTGTGGAAAAGAAGATGAAATTATGAAATAGACACATTATCGTGCGATCGCACCGCTAGCCTCCTCAGGCAGTGTCTGCTCATGCGAAGAGCTGTGGGCTGCAAGCCTTAGTGACTGTGCCGGAGGTGCCGTGCCCTGCTCGGTCATCTCTCCATACTGCTTTTCATATATTCCAGCAGTGTTGTACTTCAGTTACTTTGCGCATAAGTCATTGGTTGATTTTATTTTAGTGTGGTTATGCCAGAGGGGCAGGCGACAGGAAGTAGTCATAATTCTGTTAAACTTTTAGTGGTTTGTGTTAATTTCCTAATTCCTCCTGGAATATTACATAGTTTCTTATTTTACTATTTTGATTATAGTTTACACTTGGCTATTCCTGTCATAAGAGTTGTTACATTAATCACTGGTAACATTTAGCCTGACACTAGGCGTATAAACCCCAGTTATACTTTCACAGACCGTTGAAGTGACCACACAAGAGGCCTCCACACTGGACACTGACTGAGATAAACTGACCAAACCCTCTATATTTCATGAATCTCAAGTTCTCCAGTGTAACTTGAGGACTATGACAGCAAACAGCCCTTTACTATCAGTGTCAGCTTCTTAAATGCCATATTCTGAAGTCCTCAGAAGGTTTAATTTTCTCTTTTCTCCTCAGTGTACATATATATATATTTTTTTCTTCAGTGTATATTAACTCTGCTAAAACTGTTCAGTGTCCACCAAAGATAGTGAGGAAGTATTTATCTTGTCTTTGTGAGATTGTTGCAGGTCTTCGCTCAAGGGCTCCAGCTCTGAGAACAGACTTAGATGTACACCATGAAGAAAGGAAGATGGATCATGATTCCCTTTTGGTATGGCTGACCACATCTTTTTGGTAACCACCAGTCCATCTTTAGAAAAGTATTACTGTAGCTAACTGTTTATCTGTATGGCCCTTTGATTAAAAGGTTAAAAAACATTTTCTTTTTTAATCATTCCCAGCTCAGGGAACCTTGTTGGTCAAGGCCCTCTGCTGCTATTAGCTCATTACTCATAGAAGAACATATGCCTTCCTTGCCTCTGACGTGCTGCCGTCTATCTTTTGCAATTCCCTAGTCCATCCACCTTTTTAATAATTAGAGAGATCCATCCACCCCAGCCTTTCTTACTGTCAGCCTTGGCCTGTACAGGACATCTACATTGAGCTTCTCAGGTGTCCTGGGCCTTTCCAGGGAACAAGTTTGTGCATTTGATTTTTAATATGTAATAAATTTAGCTGGACATCCCATTTTCTCTAGATTATTGGTCTTGTCAATTTCCAAAAAGCCAGCATGGCATTCTAGCAGTACTAGCTCCAGCTGACCTTGCCAGAATGCTGAACTCTGTGTCATCACAGATAGGATGACCCAAGCCAATAAATTATCTCCAATAGGACTATATGATGTAAATGTTGGGTCCAGGGGCCTTAAGATTTATTCCCTTATATGTCTTACCAGTATTTTCTGGCATTAGCCAAGTCGTGTAATTCCTATAGTAAATAGTTTGTAATCTCCTGAAGCAGGTACTGTATGTTCCCCCTTGTAGCAGTATTAAACCTAGCTAGGTAATCCCTGGAAAGCAAAGAAAGATACTAAACACGAACCTTGAAAAAGGACAAACCACCTGGGCTGTCTCTGTAGGGTCTGGCAGTGCAAAGGGGTGAATCTTCTCTATCTGGTGTGTGTTTGGGGGAATTGCTTCTTCAAGGCAAAAGTGTTCATGAGAATTTGGAGGTTGCAGTTCTTCAGGTTTGTCTACCCGAGTGTTATCATTTCAGGTGTCAGGATCTCACTTTTTTTTAAGATATAGCAGCCCCGATATTAACACAGAAGCCTTGTTAGTGTCATTTGTTTATTTTCCTTTGCATATCTAGCTAAGTCTCCCAAATAAGAAACAAAATTATGATTTTATTATTTAAATTATTTTTTAAAATAAATTAAATTGAAATTTTTTAGTTAATAATTATATTTTTTTTGAATCTACTCCTACTGGAGATCAGAAGATTGGGCTATATTTGTGATTTCATTGTCTATAAAATTTAATAATTTTAATAAAACCTTACAGTTCACACTTGGTAGTACCTCAAGAAGTTAAACTCAATAATTGGATACATAGGAATATACCCGAAGACTAGAAAGAGGGTATTTAAACAAATAGTTGTGCATAAATGTTCACAGTTGCTATTCACATTAGGCCAAATGTAGAAATAACACAAATGTGCATCATCTAATGAACACGGTAAGTATTATATATACAAACAATGTGCTATTATTGAGACATAGGAATGAACAAGGTGTTGATAATACTTAAAAAATAGATGAACCCTATGTTAGTAACACATGCTACAGTGTGCATGAAAACAGTATGCAAAATGAAAGAAGCTAGAGACATAAAACTACACACATTATTTCATTCATATGAAAAATTCTGAATAGGTAAAAGAAAATAAGCTTTACTTTTCAGGAGCAGGAGAGAGAATGGCTAGTGGCCGTTAAATCAGTAGTGCTTTACCTTTGAGCTAATGAAAATTTATAGCATTTGGTAGATCTTATGGCTGCTTAGCATTGTTAAGGCACCAAGCACTGAACTACACACTGTACAATGGTTGTTAGTTTTATGTTATGTGAAACTTACCATAATGAATAAAAGAGAAAATATTATTTTTATGTATCTTCCTTATTTATTTTAATGTATTTGGTATAGGATCTTGCTACACAGCTCAGACTCATAGTGATCCACCTGTTTTCATTCTCCTCAGTGCTGGGATTACAGGCAGGAACCACCATGCCTAGTCTCGGTGGCCAGCTCAGCACTTCCGGGAGCGGGATCAGCACAGCATGTGGTACTGGGGATTGAACCTGGTCCCTGCACTTGCCTAAGCAGTCTTCTTTAATTTTTCCATGTACATAAATAGTTTAGTTTGAACTACTTCGAAAATATTTTTATAAAGTATTTAGGTTATAATTTAAAAATAAAGGAAAATAGACTTGGAAATGAATAGTACCATTCTTGTAAGTTGAAAAAGCACTTACTTTGAGGTGGGCCCTTTATCTTTTTTAGTATTATACAGCAAATTGAGCAGTATTTTTCTCATAACACCAAGTAAGTTTTTGCTTTCAGAGTATTTCTTTATTGTCTCAGGGTTTATATATCTAAAAAAATACAGAGAGACCTTCAGATATACTTTAAACATTTTAAAATAAGCTTACTGCTCTATTGTCAGAAAATAAGAAGAATATTTTGTTCCACAATGCACGTGAGTGTGGCATTTTCAGGGCACAGTTCTCAGTCACGAAGTTGTAGATAGAAGTAAATAGCCATGAAGTTGGGTTCTAAGACCCATTCTTCAAAGAGAGAGTGCCCCTCAGATTGGGATACATGCTCTAAAATAATGTAAGAGCTCAACGTTACTCTTTAGGAAGGGAAAACATACCATGATTCAGATCTTTGGGATTCAGACTCATCTGAGTTTTCACCTTGGATCCCCTATTGTCTGGCATGGCAATGAACAAATACCTAAGATAACTGCTCATCTGTAAAACTATATCAGATTAGGATGATTCAGTGAAAAAAGTATATGTGAAGTGTCTAGCCCATCTGTGCACCTGCCTTCACCTGCAGGGAAAGTTGTCAAATCAGAATACCTGAAGAAGAGTCAAAATAAGCACTTAGATGGGTCAAAGCTCAAAGGAATTTTTTTTCTAGCCCTTGAATTTAGTTGGTTGTAGCTTCTCCTGAATTTTTTATTGACATAGTTCATACCTGTATGTCATGATTCAGTCTTACAAAGCCAGATTCTTTTGTATTACCAGGAGCTTGACTGCTGCTGATTGGATACTTTTATTGTCTTCACCAGAAACATGCAAGAGTTCTCTCCTCTTCCATCTGAGACCCTAACATAATATGACCTAGTGGAAGGGTACTGGAAACTTGAGTTCAGAAATCAACTCTGTCTAATTGAGTATAACATTCACAATCTGGAATCTGTACAATTTCTCTACTATAGGATATTAATGTAATAAAAAAGAATAAAGACATTGAATTCTCTAAAAGTCAATATTAGTAATATGGCAAATGCATAGAAAATCTTGAATATGTATGTTTCCATCAAATCATAATTATAAAATCATTTATTAAACATCTATTATGCTTGATAAGTGAACATTTCTTTATAGAAAAACCATAAAGAAATACTAGTCTCTACATTCAAGGTTCTAGCAGACAAGTGGGATGAAATATACAAATAACTACAGTGAAGTATAGTGTGGGAGAAGAGATAATAAACAAGAAGTTATTCATAAATGGTGCATTTAGTGGAACCAAGGAGATCAGGAAAATATCCTGAAGGAACTGATATCAAAGGTAAGAACTGATAATTTTGTAGATTCATACAAATCCTGAAATTCTATGATATCAGTGAGTGTTTACTGCCTCCTAAAATTCTGTGACATCAATAGGTATGTAATCGTTTACAGCACAAATTACTAAGTCAGTCAGGCTCTTGAATTCCTACTTTACCTCAGCCCATTCACTGCTTATGCCTAACTCAGGGATAGAATGATCTCCTTAATTGGACAGTGAGACAACTTGGCTTGGAACTCTGGCTTTCTAGCTTATTAGAAAAATGACTCTGGTAAGTTATTTAATCTTCCTCTGCTTCACTCTCCTGTATAGTAAGGATCACAACAGCACTGTTCTAATAGAATTTTTGTTAGAAAAAATAGGTTGTGCACACAAAGTTTCCAAAAATGTGCTTGGCACAGAAATAGGTAAAATAAATATTTAAAATGCTGTTTCTTGTAGGAATATTTTTGCCTGAATAAATTTTTTAGAAATAAAATTAAACCAAACAATATAAAGAAGTATGCCATATGTATTCTATTTTAGGAGTTTTTAAATAAAACAATTAGGTTTTTAAAATAAGGATCTCTTATCTTTATCACTAAAGTCAGTTCTTTTCCTGATAAATGTTCCCATTTTAAGAACATTTTCATTGTTCTACTAACCTTCAGATATATTCTTTTTTTTGTTTTGTTTTGTATTTAGGACAAGGTCTACAAGGTCTCATTACATAGATTGGGCTTGTAGTCATTCTCCTGTTTTTGGCCTCCCGAGCACTGGGATTACAGGCACATGCCATCACACCCAGTCTCAATCACCATCTCAGTGAGCCCCACGGCCGGGGCCAGCACAGCAAGCCAGGGATCAAACCCCAGCCGCTTTGCTCTGCCTAAGCAGGCACTTAAGTCTGTTGAGCTATCTGGTCAGCCCTGTTTTTAATTAGGGATATTTGTATAGGAAGTTTTTATTTTTTAATTCTATGTGCATAAGTGTCTACAACATTTTCTGATATTAAATGTGAATCATTTCTATAAGAAATTTTCTTCAGTACTTTCTCTAATGTCAACAAAATGGCCCATCTCTACCATCTTTTCAGTATAATCAGTTTGCTACCTTGTAGGTGTTGGCAGAAGTTCTTTTATTTGTTTGCTTAAAGTTTTTTAAAGTTCATTAGTACACTTTGAAGAACACAATGGTTACATTTCTCCTGGAGAATGGGTGCATATATAACACACCTTAATCTTTTTTCTTCTACCTCTCCTTCCCTTCCTCTGTTTCTTAGGCAATTCATATGCAATTAGCATAAATCCTGGTGTCCATGGATAAATCTTCCACTCTTTCTAAGACTTATTTTTCTTGCCAAAGGATACTCCAATCTATGGAGCCACTGATACAAATGAGTAAGAGATGTAAAATCAACTCTGAGGCAGCCCGGCAAAGAAGTACAAAATATAAGGGCAATGAGCAGCAAGTTCTCTAGAAGTTGGAACACCATTTACTCATCTTGATACGTCCCACAGGGCCTAGCACCGGCCTTTGCACCATTAGCATGCAGTGTGTGCCTCCAGTACTTGTGAATAAAAATCTCACATATTTTAACATTTGCTTATGTTGACCACTGCACCTCCCTTCCACAGTGTGCTTCCTACTTACTATTGACCTCTTTTGTCCACTTTCTCTGGATGTTCATCAGCATACATGGCTTCTGCCATTGTGCAGGATTTAAAAGGACAGGGGAAGCAAGGGAGTGAACTTCTTTATGCTGCCTTGTTATTGTCACTTGTCATAATGTTTTATCCCCTGGACAATGTAATCACAAGTCTTAGAGTAACATTTATTCATTAATTTAATTGCTCCTACTGTACACTGTGTATCTGCCATCTTTGAAAAATGCATTGTGTTATTACAAATTGATTTGCCCAGGCTTTTCTCCCAACCTCCTTAGTTCTATTCAGACCACCTAAGCATGTGAGGGGCATGGATCAAAAGGAGAGATGGAAATATGTAAATATCATAAGTTGAACAAAAAGTAAATAAAAAATAAATTAAACAAAAACTAAATTTTAGTATATGCCTTGCTGAAGTGAACACTAAAACTAAATTTTTAATAAGAAATTTCATTTTCTTACCTGACTACATAAAATGTCATAAACATTTTTATGATAAGCTTAAAATAAAAATTCTTAGACACTTTAAAAATCTGTGCTTAAAGTACAGTGAACACATGCCACATTTTCTAGAAGTTTCCCTTTTTATATCCAGCTTTATCTCCAAAAGCTGGCACATGTGAGTGGACATGAGGTTGGTAGATACTTCTAGGTTAGATGTGTGCATATCAAAGACCCTGTTTGCTCATGGGGGAGATGAGCAGGGCCCAAGGGTCTCAGCAGGCTCTGGAAATTAGAGTCGTTTCATTGGGGTGTATGGCTGTCACTGGCACCAGGAATGTGGTCTAGAACTAAAACACAGCTGGGCTTTGAACAGACATTGTCACACTTGCAACAATCTGCTCAAGTGCATGCCTTTTATTCCTGCCACAAGGAGTGACATGAAAGTGTTCTTCAATACTCCAACTTGAGGAAATCCTTGCTTTCTGTGGAGAAGACCACTCCAAGATCACAAGTACAAGTCAAGTAAGCATTAGTAGAGGCTATGGAGTGCTGCCTCTCTATTCAGAGGAAAAATGTGCCTACAGAGATTGAGGAGCATCTTGTCCTTAATCAGGCACTTGCATAGTCTAAAAGGAAAAGTAGTTTAGAATACTTTATGTCTGACATGAGGCAAAGGAGAAAAGGAAGAGCATTTCACAGACAGAAGTAGCAGTTAGTTAAAATGCATGCAGGTGTGAATAAATACAAGTTTCAGAAATTGAAAATTGATATGGACTGAGTGTGGGGAAGAAGAAGCAGTGCTTATATATATAAAAGTTGGTAAACCTGCATTACCAGAGAAAAGCAAGAAAACTCTCACAACTTTCTACATGCCGTACCTTACAGATATAAGTCCACTCTTGACAACATACTTACTCTCCCTTCTTGTCACCAAAGCACTCTGAGGCACCTACCAACACCAGGACTGCATTCTGGGTCAAAATCTCACTCCTGTATTGTCTTTGGTAGCTTGCCTTAAAGAAATATTAATACAAATTATTACATAGTATGTATAACCATGAGCACTTACTACCAACTCTATGGAAAAGTAATCTATAAGAAAGAAGTCAAAAACTCTAAATAGTGTTTGAACATGATATCATGTCTGCATCTTGTACTATGAATAACCACTATGAAGACAACAATATGCAATGTATTAATTATTAACACTGTCCTATTAATTGGTTTTGAAACTATGTCATTGCTATTTGTTCCTGGATAAAATAAAAAAAAGCTTTTAAATCATCTATCATCTGGTTTTTAAAAGTAAACTTCCCATGGAGTCTAGACCACTAATCCATGCAGAAGGCAAATTTAAGCTTTGCTTGCAACAAGCTGGTTTTATGGGAAAGTAGCCTACTTGTTAATCAAGTTTCAGAAATAAATAAATAAATAAATAAATAAAGCCCTGTGTCAAATGTCTAGGAACTGTTTCAAGTTGTAGCCTCATCTTGAGGGTTCATAGTACATTAATACTGTGAAACCCTAAAGATGCTAGTTTGTATCTTTATTTAATTCCATGTTCCTAAGTGTTGTACTACCACAATGGAAGTATGCTACCTGCCATCTATTATAAAGATCAAAGAGGTTGCTGTTATTCTTCAGAATGCAAGTTTTTTTTTTCATTCGATCAAGTTTATTGAGAGCCTACTCAGCTTCAGGGACTCGTTGACACTGAGGACACTGCTTCCCAACACTGTCCCTACATCAGTGTGCTGAGCACAGTTGGGAATCATTGTCTGGACCGGCTCTCTCCGCCGGAACGTAGGACACAACCGAAGACTCGTGGATTCTGTAGCAGGGATTCTCTTTGCACAGTCACTTATGGATTCTAAATTATTCTTTTTTTTTGGGGGGGAGTGGATACTTGAAAGCAATATCAACTAAATTTGAAAAGCTACTTGTTCATAATTATAGGAATTTAACACAGTAGCATTCTCCTTAAATGCATTAAAGTACTTCTAAACACAGTGTAATATTATGCTGTTTTACTGTACTCAAAGATAAAAAATACAGTTTCTGGGAAAACTAAGAAAGTGGAAAACAGTGAGTCTTATGAAAGTTTAGCAGTATAAGTGATAAAGCAGTTAGATCTTGGAAAACTTTTAATTCTTAAAATATAAAAATGTAGGTAACTGTCATTGAATTAACTGATTATATGTGTTTTGTCCAACTTTGTGAGTTGTTTCATAGATATAAAAGCTCATTTTCAGAGAGAAGCTTTCCCAAGATGACTTTAGAAACTTGATGTGGCTGAATCGCAGGCTTGTCTTTCTACTCGATCATGGTAGGCCACTTCTTTGAGGTCATTTTCTCACCATGTTGTGATTTCTATTCCAACAGAGAAAGGAGCGGAAGATATTTCTCCATTAACAATACCTGCCCAAGATTTAAATTCAATCTCTCAAAACTTTGAAAACTATAAAAAGATAAGTTATTATTACTATCAGGAATGGTTAACATTAGAATTAAAATTGCAGAGACAAAATCAACAAATAAGATGCACATGAAAAATGCCCCTAGAATGAAAATGGGCTAAAATAATAGGAAGTGAATTTTGGATGTGGAAAGCAAAGGAGAGATTTAACCTCATTTGGCAACAAGATTTCCTGGGGAAGACAAATATAACATAGAATAAAATTAACAATTTCAGAATAATAGTAGAAACCAAACATTGTAGGCAAGAAACAGAAAAGACACATGGAAATGTGTATGGCAGAAAATGCAGATTGTCACAGCTAGAATAAGTTTCTTTTACAGATGAGGACAACGACTGAAGAAGTAAGTCCTGCATTGAACATTGTATTAATAATGAAAGAAAGACTTGAACTGGGGACTAACAATTTATTGTGACATTATTGTAATAATTTCCTGAACTAATTAAAAATCTGGAAGTGAATTAAAAATGTGATCTCTTAATATTTTTAAAATTATTCCAAACTAGAAATAACCCTGCACACATCCAAGTAGGATACAGGTTACATTTAATTTCATAAATGCGAATTAACTAAGTTCATAACGTCACTCCTGTTGTGTTCATGTGACTGTATCATTATTGAGTTGCATCCCTGATACTTTTTAGCTCTGAAACATCTTTAGACATTTACTAATCAATTATATTTTCTACATTTTCATGCCAGAAGCTCTGGCCAAACTATTAAAAGTTAGATTTTAAGAATATTCTCAACTTGAAATGTTGGAAATAGACCAAATTTTAAAATAATGTCAACATGTTAAAGAATGTAATATTTGAGAAATGATATCTAGAAAAGGCTTATGTCTGAAAATAACTAATAAGCATCATCATTAGAATGCAATTTAAATATTAAAAGTTAAAAAAGGAACAACAAAACAATTTGAACTTTAGATTCATTTTAAGTATTATTTTGACATTATTGCAATAATTTCCTGAACTAATTAAAATTTTGGAAGTAACTTAAATGATCTCTTAATATTTTAAAAATTATTCCAAACTAGAAATAACCCTGCACTCATCCAAGTAGGATACAGGTTACATTTAATTTCATAAATGCTAATTAACTAAGTTCATAACATCACTCCGTTGTGCTCATGTGACTGTATCATTATTGGGTTGATACAATACTTTTGTTTTAATTTAATTTAATTTTTTTTTTCAGTATCGGGGATTAAACTCAGGACTCTGCACTTGCCAGGCAGGCACTTATTCTGCTGAGCTACCTCCCTGGCCCCTTACACTTTAGTTTTAAAAAGTAAAGTTCTAGGCAGGTTGACAGAAAGGAAATGGGGCAATATATTTATCCTTATAGCTAAATAACAGCTGTAGATGAGTTAACATTTTTAATTAGATAATTTTAAGAATTATTCATGCTATGCTTATAGACATAGTTTTAATCCAGCTTATGAAACAGAAAAAATAAAATATGTATTCCCATGCAAAAGCAGCAAAGGAAGAAAGCAGACAAAACAAAGATCCTAAATCAGCAGAAGATATGTTGAAGAACAGTAAAACAGAGATGCCAAAATAGACCAACAATTTTTTCTTGCAATAAATATTACATTGTGCAAAGTATCTTGGATTAATAATGAAATTATTTTATCGTTGCCTATGTTCCTTAAATTATGCTGTTAATTAAAGTTATAGATTAATAAGTCTGTCTTTGAGATGTCATCTATGTTTACTAGATTTATGTAGGTGGACAATAAGCTCTAGCAACAGGCAAAATTCAGTAAAACACTGCAAATAGCCTAAGTAACTGGTAAAATATTGTGTGTGTACACATATACAAAGTTTAGGTGGCAACAGAAGTGGGGTGGGGGTGAGTGTGGTGGTGGCAATGGGAAAGCTTTTGATCATGAGTATAGCAAGAGCAGTTATCACAAACAGTGCCTAACACATAGAGTACTTAGATGGAGAAGCAAAGTTATTTGGCAAATTTAAGTGAGCATCAAGAAAGATCAAAATGCATGTTTGCATAAATCTGAGTAGTACAGTGAGAGTATCAAAGGGAGAGCACACAATGATCCTGGTCAAGCCCAAGGTGAAATGAGATGAATGCTGAGATGTAGGCACTTAGAGGATGGAATAATGCACACGCCACTGAAATCAATAATAGCACTACTATTGTGTGGAAGAACACTCATGACCATTTGGGGAAGTGGTCTGAAAGTAGTCTCCTTTACAGATTTGGAGGGCAATACTTAGCATGAATAGTATATCTGGGTATACACAGATCATATAGTTGTGCTACTGATTGATATTTCCATAATGTGATGTTCATACTCTTCTTGGTTTTAATTTTCTTCTTTTTCCATAATTGTATTGAGAAACAAATAGCAATAAAACAGTTTAAAACCAAATTGCTAGGACAGTTTCAATAATTAACACATTGCACACACTCTTCCCAGTGGTTAATTGCTGTACAAGATGCGAACATGATATCCTATCTACAAACACCATTAGAACAAATCCCTCTATTCATTAAGAGAATGTAACTATATATCTATCCCAAACACCTTGAATACACAGATACAAAATGGATA